GCATCTCTGCAAAGCCTCCTGAGGTTGGGAGATGCTGGCCCGGAGGAAGAAGGGGGGAAAAACGGCTCTGTGCGACCCCCCCCCACCTTGGAAGAGGAGGGGGGCGATTCAACCTCCGTTAAATCTGTTGGGAAGACACATATAACAGGAATAGCCCATGGACGATGACTTCTTTTTTTGGGTATAATTTATAGATAGATAGATAGATAGATAGATAGATAGATAGATATAGATATAGATGATATAGATGATATAGATGATATAGATATAGATGATATAGATATATGATAGAGATATATGATAGAGATAGATAGACATATAGATAGATAAATGAGGGAGAGGGAGATATTTTACACACACACACACACACACACATATATATAGTTATAGATAGACATAGAGATAGCTAAAAGATAATGAGAGAGAGACTAGATAGATAGATATAATAGACATAGAGATAGATAGATAGACATAGAGATAGATAAGAGTGAGACGATGATATATAGATAGGTATAGAGAGATAGAGATAAAAGAGATAATGAGAGAGAGACGATAGATAAATGAGAGACAAAAATAGATAAAGATGGATAGATAGAATGATAGATAGTATGGAATATATGAACAGTGTGATGTGGGTATCCTTAGCTTTCATACCAAATAATAGAAATAATATTGACAGTTTTAGTAATCTTACTTACATTAATCATCCTCACATCATTATATAACATTATACATAATACACTCATCTTTCAACTTCTAATCCTGCCCATGGACTTCTTTTTTTGTATATATTTTTTAATTTTTATTTATATATATATGTGTGTGTGTGTGTGTGTGTGTACATGAACAGTGTGACATCTGGGTATCCTTAGCTTTGATACCAGATAATAGTAATAATAATATTAACAATTTTAGTCATCTTAGTTACATTAATCATCCTCACATCCTTATAATAACATTAAACACAATACAATCATCTTTAAACTTCTCATCCTGCCCATGGACTTCTATAGACTTTTAGCTCCATTCTTTCCAAATCTGCCTGGGCTACAAAGTTCTCTACCAAATGACTGATTCCCAAGTAAGTGTGTGTGTGTGTTTTATGAGATTTGAAATCTCTCATCTGCCTTGATTTTTTTAACTAGGGTAGAGGGTTAGATGGGATTGGCCAACTGTGCTTTATTTTATTTTTTATTATTCAGTGGCTCTTCTCTTTTCTTTTTAGTTCATGAGTTGGAAACATCCCCCCCCCACCCTAATTTTATCCTGAATTAGGATTCTGCTCTCTTTATGATCCTGTTGGATTAGGGTCAATTGTAACCGATGCTATATACACCTTAATCAAATGCTTGGACTGTTAATGTTCAGCATGATTGTCGTCTTTCAAATGAGGCGGGAAAGCTTTCCAAATTGACAGATCCTCAACTGATGTCCTAAGGCAATGTTTAATTAAGATCTCACATTGTTAAGATTATTTGTATCTTCTGGTTATATATTAGCAATAGCCCTATATCGCTACACGGTGCTTTAATGCCCTCCCTAAGAGGTTTACAGAGTCAGCCTCTTGCCCCCAACAATCTGGGTCCTCGTTTTACCCACCTCAGAAGGACGGAAAGTTGAGTCAAACTTGAGGCAGTCAGGATTGAACTTCTGGTAATGGGCAGAGTTAGCCTGGAAGACTGAAAAGATTCTAACCACTGTGCCACCACGGCTCTTGCCATTTAATAATTTTTATTACCTTACTTGTTTTATGGCAGACCCCTTGGTCCTGGGGAACTCTAAACATTTATCTTTTTTTTTTTTTTTTTGCCTTTGCCTTTTCTGACTCGTGCTGATCTATTTTCCTGGACTGAATACAAGTAGTCCTCAACTTACAGCAGTTCACTTGGTCACTGTTTGAAGTTACAACAGCACTGAAATAAGTGACTTAGGACCGTTTTTCACACTTATGACCGTTGCAACATTCACATGGTCACGTGATTTACAATCAGATGCTTGACAGAATGGTTCGTATTTATGATGGTTTCAGTGTCCCAGGATCATGTCATCGTATTTTGTGATCTTATGGCCATGGGGAGGTCAGATTCACTTAATAATCGCGTTACTAATTGAACAATGGCAGGGATTCACTTAACAAATGTGGCAAGAAAAGTCGACAAATGGAACAAAACTTACTTTAACAAGTTTCTTGCTTAGCAACATAATTTCTGGTCTCAATTGTTGTAAATCAAGAACTACCTGTGGCCTGTTTGGTACAAAGTGTTCTGGAATGAGTGGTTGCCACGTAGGAAAACGAGTTGCCATATATCTTCCCTGGTATTCATGGAATAGATGCTGGAGCATGACATTTAGGGAATTAATGCTGTGTCTGTATCAATGGTTTGTGATTGGCTATCACCCAGTGGTGACTTAGCACTTAAGGGCTGCCAAACGTACATCGTTGATGCTCTGGGCATAACAAGTGGGGCTGTCTGGCATTGCCTCATTTGCCTTCTGGATGTAAATCATTTTGGGAATTAGCATAAGCTGTATTGGTCTGCCGTTTAAAATTAAATTAACAGCTGTGTGTGAAAACAAAGCAGAAAACGCATCTTGTTCCTTGCTCAGAAAGAAGAAAAGGCAAACTGCCTATTTGCTGCATAGCAGTGTTTTTCAATCCTGGGAAGTTTAAGATGTTGAGGACCTTAACTCCCAAATGATGACTCTGTCATCACTGGATTCCCTGGCCTGAGGATTTTTTTCGCCCCACACTCCTAAAGAAATTTCACTCGAACCTCGCACCCCCTGAAATAAATAATAAATAAAAATGCCAACATATAGCCAATATCCTATTATTTACCTGGACTTTTCTCGCACCCCCTGGAATATCGTCTCGCACCCCAGGTTGGGAACCCCTGCCATAGAGGATAGAGGGTTGGTCTAGACTCTCTAGAAGATCTCCAAAATCCCTTCCTGACCAGGGACTAGAAGGAATGCATGCTCCCTTTTTTTCTAGAAGACTCTGCAAAGATAGGAGTTGAATAGTTTTGCGTTTTCATTGTTACCTGATAGCTTTTTGCCATCTCCATCCAGCTGTTTGTTTTGTTTCAAATATTTCCAAAAATGCACATCTCAAAAATGATTTGAAAGAAGTACTGTGGATATTAGACAAACAACACATCCCTGCTACTCACTATATCTTTGTCCCTGCCAATGTTAATAGCACTCCTCTCACGTTCTCCTTCTCTACTGCCCTTTCTTTCTCCAACCTCATTAAATTCATTTAAAAGCTCTCCAGATTGAAGCTTGTCACGTTTGATCACATACATCATCTTGTCTGGTGTTCTGGAGCACTTCTTGTTGCACCTAAACAATCATTAATTCTCTCACCTTTGTGAGAGTTCTGTTGTTTTGCAAAAAGGCATGGGTATCCACCCCCAATTTTTAAAATTATTGATTAAACTGCATGGAATGTAGATTAAATAAGCTTCAAGGGCTATCAAGTAATCCTAAAGTTTTTAAACAGTTTGGTGATCCTACTTAGAACCATATTTTAAAATAAATTTAATTTGAAAGCCTGTAAATAAGATCTAGCCACCTAGCATACCTTTGGATAGGAAGATGGTTGGCATATAAATTTAATAAATAGGAGTCAGGGTGGCACAATGGTTAGAATGCAGTATTGCAGGTTAACTCGACCCACAGCCAGGAATTGGATCCTGATGGGCTCAAGGTGACTCAGCCTTCTATCCTTCCGAGATCGGCCATTAAATGTATACCCTTATGTCTGTTTATGTAAGCATTGGTGCCCTGATGTGATATTACAGATTTCTATGCTATGGTAACCTTATTTACGACGGATTAATTTGAACCCAGGCTGGGATAACAAAATATGCCACTGCAGCATTTAAAAGCAATCATCGACCGCATTTCAAGAGTAATTATTTTCTTTTTCAAAATTGTCTGGATCTGTGGTGCGATATGAAGCCTTTATTGCCAAACCTTCTGGGTAGACCAGCTTAGAAACAACCCCCCTGACAAGCTAGAGCCCTCCTTTCTCGAGTGAAGAAGTTGGCATAACAGGACTGGGCAAGCCTGTGGTGCTTTACCTTCTCTCCCGCTTCTGCCCAGTGAGTCTGGGAGGAGCCCTGCCTGCCTGGCTTCCAAATGCTATCCTGTTCCCCAAGACCAGGGGGTCAGCAACCCGCGGCTCTGGAGCCACATGTGGCTCTTTCATCCCTCTGCTGCGGCTCCCTGTCGCCGGTCGGCTCCACAATTGATAGAGCTTTTGGTTAGGAGAGGTAGAGGAAAAAGGACACCACACTAGGAGGAGACTCTATGGTGGGGGAACTTCCGGTCAGCTCCAGAATTAAATGGGGGGGGGCTTCCAGTTAGGATCTTTGTGGCTCTTTGAGTGCTTAAGGCTGCCGACCCCTGCCCAAGACTTAAGGAAGGTTTCAATTCTCTTTTACCTACCCAACCTTGTAAGCTGCCTTTTCCCATCATGGTAATCTCTCATCCCTGCTTCTCTGCAGTTGGTCGTGTGACAGATGTAATGAACACAAGTTTCCCAGCATCTTATGTTGGGCTTAGCAAGATCTTTCTGGCCACTCAGGGGAGAGACCGGCAGGAAACTCTAGTAGTCTAGAAGGGGACTGAAAGGATCCCGCAAGGAGAATGTGTGTACGGCTGCCAAGAAAACAGCATGAAAAATGCATCCACATAGTCCTAGGCAGCTGAACTCATCTTAAAAAGGGACACCCCACCCCTTTATGTTTGAGAAAAGCCATCGTTCTTTTTTCTCATTTAGAGTCAACAGTTGGAAACGGCCTTCCTGCACTCCTGCTTTTATGGCTGAAAGGGAGCAAAGGGAGTTTTAGTTTGTGCTCTGTAGAGGTGAAGCGTTTTGGGAGTTCCTGGGCTCTGGGTACATATCTGGTCCTTCCCCCTTTGGTGTCTCCAGCCAGACTCTACTAGCCAGGTTACCTTTCCCTTCTAGGAACGTGGTTCACTTGGAGCACAGCAGTGCAGTCTCTTACTGTTTTTTACATTTTGGAATACCAAAATGGCTTTGGGTGGGGGAAAAAAAAAGGTTTCTAAGTAAGAGGTGTGCCAGATAACAGCCGTTAATAATGTAAACATACAAGGCCAGGTGGAACTGGAGTAGTCTTACCCCTCCCTTCGGTTTACAGAGGAAAAACTCAGTCTTAATGTAAACAGTCTGCTTAATTCCGGAAAAGTATCTTACAAATATGGGACATTTTTGTTCTCCCCCCCAGACCGTCAAGTATGATTTTCCAAATAGCATTAACCAGATGAAGATGTTTGCCTCCACCTTTTTGGAATTCTTTCTGTTTAAAATCCATTCAGGGGCAACAAGGCCACCACCCTCCCTTTCAGACCTCCAAGGGTAAAAGCTATAATGATTGTTTCTATGAAAGCTTTCCTTTTTTCCTACTTTTAAAGAGTTGCATGGAGGAGAGGTCTTGCACAGATCCCTGTAAAACATCTGCCTTTTGTTCGGGCTGAACTCTTTCCCTCTGTCAAGCAGTTGGATTTATCACTTCTGTTGGCCTCCATTCAGGGTGGGGTTCTTTTGACAGCGTTTCAGAGACGGAAACCGAATGCTAATGCACTCCAGGCAGAACAATTTATCTATTTCTATAACACTTGGGTGCGACAGCCATGTGCTGCAGACGTGTTCCAGGCTGTTCTTTCCTGCTTTTTCCTTCAAATTGGACTTATCTGTGCCAGTACCCACAAGAGTCTCAAAAGAAAATCTAAATGCATGCGGAGGGACAGAGGAGTCAAAACTGCTCCGCTCTTAACTTTGGACTCCCGGAGCAAAGTGCTCTCCGTCTGTATGCCCTCCCACTGCCGTTTCTTGGCCATTTTTAGTGGCTTTTTCCAGCCCTGTTGATCTTCATTTACGCTCCTCTAGACCTTTCCTGGCTGAGGATGACCCCAAGGAAGTTTCTGCATAGCTGCCTATGGAGTTTCTCAGTCATCCAGGTCATTCGTGGTTGTCCCAATGGTGCTTTTTTTCAAGAGGAAACTGGATTTTTTTGTTTTGTCTTTGAAGACATTTCATTTCTCATCCCAGAAGCTTCTTCAGCTCAGATTGGAAGGTGGGGAATGGAAGGATGTATACTCCTTGCAGGCAGCGGGTCATTTGCATTGTTTTTAGAGAGTCCTTCAGGCCACTTGGAGGTTTATCTCTGTGTCCTCAGGGTTACCTGAATGGTGCAGAGGGGTGTGGAGCCTCCTTGGAACTGCTGAAAAGATCTGTGTTGTAGAGTGGAGATAGATGATGTGATATCCCTTTCACCTCTGTGGAGGGAGGGCTGTTTGGACACAGATGGCCTCTTTGATCCCTATTTGCACCGCTCAGGTGACCCTGAGGACACAGAGATAAACCTCTGCTGTGGCCTCAATGGCCCTCTAAAAGAATGCAAATGACCAGCTGTCCGCAAGGAATATAAATCCTTCCATTCCCCACCATCCAGTCAGAGCTGGAGAAGCTTCTTGGATGAGAAGCAAATGTCTTCAAAGAAAGACCTTGAATCAGAAAATCCTTTCTGCATAGTTGGCGATTCAGAGGGAAAAGGTGGGGGGGGGGGTTGACTGGTCCTGGCTGCATTTTCCTGGGACCTAGCCAGCTGCAGCTTTCCTCCCTCTGCTTTTAAACAGAGAGCCCCCAGGGTTGGCAGGAAGCCCCCGGATGGAGATCTGGTCCAGGATTTCCTGCAGAAAATAGACAGTCTCTCTCCCTCCCCCCTTTTTTCATCAACAGGCTGGGAGTTGGCCTCCTGGCAGAGACGATACAAAAAAATATGGTGTTCCCTGCAAACCCACAGCGCGATCCATAAATGTCACTGAGAGTTGAGGTGCAGGAAATCTGTATCAGTAGTCCTCGACTGAACAACCAAAATGGAGCCCCAAATTTCTATTGCAGTTGTTCAGCGAATCTTGCCCTGTTTTACGACCTTTCTTGCCACAGTTGTTAAGTGAATCACTGCAGTGGCTGAGTTAGTCTCAACGGTTGTTAAGCAAGTTCCGCTTCCCCAGTGACTTTGTTTCTTGGCCAGAAAAAGGGGATCCGTGACCTTGGTAGACTGCAACTGTTATCAGCACAAATCATTTGCCGACCGTCTGAATTTTTGAGCCTGTGACCAGCTGCAATCATATGAAAAACGGTCCTAAGTCCCTTTTTTCAATGCTGTTGTAACTTTCAGCGGTCACTAAATTACTGTAAGTCAAGGTGGAATCCTTAAAACTGGGAATTTTCTTTTTTGAGTTTTTGGGAGTGTATAAAAAATATAAAATGTGATTTATGAAAATTAACTGGTAGTCACGAGAGCTCTGCAGATAATACAATAGAATTCTTTTATTGGCCAAGTGTGATTGGACACACAAGGAATTTGTCTTGGTGCAAATGCTTTCAGTGTACATAAAAAGAAAAGATACGTTCGTCAAGAGTCAAGACTCATCAGGTACAACAACACTTAATAATAGTCGTAGGGTACAAATAAGCAATCAAATCATACTAGGAAACAGTCAATATGGATCGTAAGGAAACAAGCGACAAAGTTACAGTCATACAGTCACAAGTGGGAGGAGATGGGCAATGAGTGATGAGAAGATTAATAGTAATAGTAGTGCAGACTTTGCAAATAGTTGGACAGTGTGGAGGGAATTATTTGTTTAGCAGAGTGATGGCGTTTGGGAAAAAACTGTTCTTGTGTCTAGTTGTTCTGGTGTGCAATGCTCTATAGCGTCGTTTTTAGGGAAGGAGTTGAAACAGTTTATGTCTGGGATGTGCGGGGTCCTGTAGATATTTTCACAGCCCTCTTTTTGATTCGTGCAGTATGCAGGTCCTCGATTGAAGGCAGGTTGGTAGTAATTGTTTTTTTTGCAGTCCTAATTATCCTCTGAAGTCTGTGTCTGTCCTGTTGGGTTGCAGAACCAAACCAGACAGTTATAGAGGTGCAGATGACAGATTCCATCATTCCTCTGTAGAACTGGGTCAGCAGCTCCTTGGGTAGTAGCCCTCGGCATAGCATTGTAAATACTTACTTAGGTTTGTAGTGTGAAAATGGAAGTGCTATCACTAAAAAGTGACTTACGACCGTTTTTCACACTCATGACTTGTTTCAACACCCCCATGAACAGAAGTTTCCTTCAGAAGTTGTGGGTGCTGCATCACTGGATAACTTTTCAAGAAGATGCTGGACAGCCACTTGTCTGAGATTGTCTAGGTTCTCCTGCTTGAGAAGGGGGCTGGACTAGAAGACCTCCAAGGTCCCTTCCGGCTCTATTGTGATTCAGTGGTTATGTGATTTACATTCACATGCTTGACAACTGGTTCATATTTATGACCGTTGCTGTGTCCCGAGATCATGTGATCATCTTTTACAACTTTCTGATCAGCAAATGGGAAAGCCAGATTCACTTAATCATGTGACTAACAACTGCAGTGATTCACTTAACAACTGGAATAAGAAAGGTCGTAAAATGGGACAAAACTCACTTAACAAATTTCTCACCTGGCGACATAATTTCTGGGATCAATTGTGGTTGTTCTGTTTCCAGTTGCTTTAACAGAAACTGCTTGATATCTTTTTTAAAAAAAATTGTTTTCTTCTCACTTTTGCAGCACGATTGAAACTGTACTATGAATGGTGAAACGAGAGCGGAGGTGGTAACTTCACCACCTCCAACAGCTCCACATAAAGAGAGATACTTTGACAGAGTTGATGAAAATAACCCTGACTACTTGCGAGAGAGGAACATGGCCCCCGACCTTCGCCAGGATTTCAATATGATGGAACAGAAGAAGAGAGTATCCATGATCCTCCAAAGCCCTGTAAGAATATATAATCACATTTTCCCCCCGAGGCATGACTATAGAAAAGAAGCATGTAACAAGTTATAGATGCTAAGAATGCATAGCAAGCTGCGAGGAAAAAAATGAGAAAATTTAATTAATTTAATTAAAATGCTCTGTGCTTTAAAGAAACTTTCAAACAAGATAGATTTAATGTGTGACCGAAGCCACAAAAGCCTCTTCAAGTGTACATGTGTGTGTTTCCTCGAAAAGCACTGTTTGTCTCTTAGCTCAGATTTCTAATGCAGTTTCATTTGGAGAAATAGTTTGGAGAAATAATATATTTTTCTTCTTGCTGCTGTTATTGAACCAAAGTAGTGATAAAATACCGGAATATTACATTCTAACACTGCAGTACATGAACTTCAGAGAATTAAGGGGTGCTGCAGGCCAAATTATTTCCTACGTAAAATTGGTAAACCAATATAATCAAAGCTACATAATATTCTGCGACACGCTCCCTCCTTGAAAAATCCTACAGATACTCCTTGATTTACGACCATTTTAATGATGGAACAGAATTACAACAGTCTCAGGAAAGATGCTTTATGGGTCATAAACAACTTCTGGCCATCGGGCAAAATGTTGCACCACCACCCCTGCGATCACATGATCTGGGTGCTCAGCAAACCTGATTGCACTTACCACCGGGTTGTCAAGTACTTTGTAATTATGTGGTCCCCAGTTGCAGTCTTCTCTGCTGGCTTCCCCATAAAATCATTGGGGAAGCCAGTAGGGAAGGTTTGCAAGCTGATGACTCTTGCTGAGAAGACCCCCTCCCTATTTCTGGAGGCTGGCTAAAAGGGTTGCCTGCTGAGGGGAGCTGAAATTCCCTCAAGAGAATTTCCCTCAGAGTTGCCTGCTGAGAGGAGCTGAAATTTTCAGGCCAGGTCCTGAAAATTTCTGCTCCATTCCTGCACCCCAGTGAAGAGCCTGTTCTTATGCAAGGAGTTGGGCACCAAGTCAAGTCACGGCTCTGTCAAGCACTCTTTTCACAGGCAGTATTGCTCTTTTATTAGGCATTTTGTGAAGAGTTGGAATCCATGATCCAGGAACAGTTCAAGAAAGGGAAGAATCCTACAGGCCTGCTGGCTCTACAACAGATTGCAGACTTCATGACGACCAACGTTCCCAACGTCTACCCACCTGCTCCTCAAGGAGGCATGACTGCCTTAAACATGAGTGAGTCTTGGGGGTGGGGGGGTGAAAGGGCTGATGACACCTTGGCTGTATAGGTAGTCCTCGACTTAACGACCGCAGCTTAGCCCAAAGTTTCTGGTTTTTTTAAAGTGAGTTTGGCCCCATTTTACGGCTTTTCTTGCCACAGTTCTTACGTAAATCTGCCATTGATAGAAATTAGTAACCCGGTCATTAACTGAATCTGGCTTCCCCATTGACTTTCCTGGTCAGAAGGTCTCAAGGTGATCAACATGACCTTGGGATGCAGCGATGGTCGTAAATATGAACTGGTCTCCAAGCCTCTGAATTTTGATCCCTGATCGTGGCGATGCTGCAAAATTTGTAACTCTGAAAAACGTTCTTTAAGTCACTTATTTTTGCGCTGCCATTGTAACTTTGAGCGGTCACTGTTGTAAAGAGCTACCTGTAGTTCTGTGTTTTAGTAATTGGCAACCGTTTTAATTCAGTGCTCAAATTAAAATTGCATTTTTTTCCCCATGTACCTTTTCTTTTCAGGCCTCGGGATGGTGACGCCTGTGAACGATCTGCGGGGATCGGATTCCATCGCTTACGAGAAAGGAGAGAAACTACTACGGTGCAAATTGGCTGCTTTCTACAGGCTGGCCGATCTCTTTGGCTGGTCGCAGCTTATTTACAATCACATCACTGTGAGTACGCAGTTCCCTAGGAGAAATAAAACGGGGAAATTCCAATCGCGTTCAAGCCAAGCCAAGCCCCAAAGCAATAAAGTTATAATCCGCATAAACTAAATTGCACAAAGTCTGTTAGCCTGTTTGGGAGAAGAAGAAGAAGAAGAAGGAAGACAAAACCAGAAGCAGAAGCCACCTATCTCTGGACAGTCATTCTACGTGAGAATGCCCACGTACCCTCAGCCCCCAGTGGGACAGATTTTCACATAGAATGCCTGCCCTGAAATAGGTGACTTCTGCTTCTGTCTTTTTTCTTTTAAAGGCAAAAGAAGTTTGTCTTCTGCCTTTTTCATGCTGGGAGCATGAACTGGGAGAACCTGCCCTGCTGTTTCAGGGGTGGGTGGGCCTTTCCTTTCCTTGGAATTTGCCACCTCCTGGGTGTAAATTGGCAGGTCCAGTCTTCAGTTGCCTGTCCAGGGTGAGGAGTCTTGTGAGCACAGCAGAATAGTACTCGTCCTTCCTCCCTTTCTGTTTCTTTCCTTCCTTTTCATTTCCCTCCCTCCCTCCCTCCCTCCTTTCCTCCCTTCTATCCCTTTTCTTCCTCCCTCCCTCCCTTTGTGCTTAAGGCAAGGGTCTCCAAACTTGGCAAGTTTAAGACTTGTGGACTTCAACTCCCATAATTCCTGAGCTAACATGCCTGGAGGAGGAATTCTGGGAGTTGAAGTCCACAAGTCTTAACAGCGGTCAAGTTTGGAGACCCCTGCCTTAAAGGGTAGGCATTAGGTTTGCTGTTTTTGCTGAGATCCAAAACAGGGATTCTCCCTGCTGAAGCCTATTTTCAACCATGGAACTGCTGATGTGGCTAGCAGGAATCCAGGATCATTTCTGCTGAGAAACCAAAAGAAGGAAGAACCCAGGACCGCCTTGGCAAATCAGCAGATATTTTTTTATTTATTTATTGATTTTTCAATCCATCTGAATTTTCTGCATTTCAGGTTGTGGCTCTCAGAGCTTTCTTCTTCATATTTGCAGGTCAGAGTAAATTTGGAGCAGGAACATTTTCTGATTGTGCCTTTTGGACTTCTCTATAGTGAAGTTACTGCATCCAGCTTGGTAAGTGAAAAATTGTAAAAAAATAATAATCTTGAATGTCTTAACTCATTGCCAATTAGAACAAGTGAGTGCCACATTTAAATCTTGGATTGGGGCCTTCTTATTTAAGCCTTCATTTCTTATCTTCCTAAGTCAAATTGCATATGTTGCGTAAAAGTGGTTTGAATTATAATGTCATCACCGGATTCCTGTTTCCAAGATGCCTCGCCCTAGAGCCAAGAAAGAATGTGATAAAAATAAATTATCCAAATGTCCTTGGATACTCTATGGTGTTTCATCTAAACAAAAATATATATATCCCTAACTGTAAAAGCTTTTCTGTAGATCAGCATCATAAATACCCAACTTCCATTCTCTCTCTTTCTCTCTTCCCCCCCTCTCTCCCTCTCTCTCCCTCCCTCCCTCCCTCCCTCCCTCCCTCCCTCCCTCCCACCCCTGCCTCCCATGCATGCTACTCATGACTGCTGAGGTGCCCAAAAAGCTAACACAATCCTTAGTTGTATAAACAGAGGCATAGAATCAAAATCAGGTGAAAATACCGTTTTATAAAGCCTTAGTAGGGCGACATCTGGAATACTGCATCCAGTTTTGGTCACCACATTACAAAAAAGATGTTAAGACTTTGGAAAAAGTGCAGAGAAGAGCAGCTAAGATGATTAAAGGCCTGGAGGCGAAAATAAATGAACAGGAATTGCAGGAATTGGGTTTGGCTAGTCTAGAGAAAAGAAAGACTAGTGGGGACATGATAGCAGTCTTCCAATACTGCTGCAAAGAGGAGGAGGTCGATTTATTTTCCAAAGCCCCAGAAGGCAAAGAGAAGAAACAGTGGATGGAAATTCATCAAGGACAGAAGCAACCTGAAATTAAGCAGAAACTTCCTGACAGTGAGGATAATTAACCAGTGGAACAGCTTGCCTCCAGAAGTTGTGGCTGCTCCATCACTGGAGGATTTTAAGAAGAGACA